AGAGCCAGAGCACGGAAACACCCGCGTCCCTGCCCCGGGCTCAGCCCGCGTCCCTGCCCCGGGCTCAGCCCGCCCCTGGCTCCCCAGTGCTGTCCCACGGGCAAAACGAACTCCAGGCCGGTGCCGTGGCTCGTGCCTGTAATCCCAGCAGTTTCGGAGGCCGAGAAGATCACTGAAGGACGGACAGCCTGGGCAGCACAGCAAGACCTGTCTCTACAAAAAACCTAAAATTAACTGGGCATGGTGGCAGGTGCCTGGAGTCCAGCTACTCAGGAGGCTGAGGCAGGAGGATCACTTAAGGCCAGGCATTCGAGGCCAGCCTGGGCAACATAGTAGGACTTCATCTCTCCAAAAAGTTATCTGGGGGCAATTCCCAATGACTTGGGCGTCTAAGGCGGGAAGATCACTTGAGCCCAGGAGTTTGAAGCTGCAGTGAGCTGTGATCATGCCACCATACTCCAGCCTGGGTGAAGAGAGAGAGAGACAGAGAGAGAAACAAAACAAACTCCCAGCTATTCACAGGCTGAGCCGGGGGGATCACTTGAGCCCAGGAGTTGGAATCTAGCCTGGGAAACATAGCAAGACCCTGTCTCTAAAAGAGGAAATAAACAGAAGCCAAGTTTTAAAAACCCACACACCTCACAATGGCCAACGGGTCCTGGGGGCCTGGCTCCACCCGCCTCCGCCCTCCCACCCTCTGCAGACTCACCCGCTGCAGCCACACTGGCCTCCCTGCGACCAGACCGACAAGCCCTGTCCTGCCTCTGGGCCCTTGTGTGGGCTGAGACCTCTGCCTGGAGGCCTCGCCTATCAGACCCTTGGCGGCTGGCTGGCTGTGGTCTCCAGGTTCCTAGAACAATGCTCGCGGTCAGCTGGCCTTCAGCGAACACTTCTGCAGGCCGGGAGCCGGGGCTACCAGCCCGCGTGCCTGACTGACGCTCAAGAGGTGGCTGCGGTCCCAGCCTGCCCCCGTCCGACCGGTAGGCTGTTGGAGAGTTAGTCTCACCCCCAATGCACTGGAGGGGTCTGAGGTGCCGGACATGCTTATGCTGGGGCAGGGTGTGGCCCGGGAGACTGAGGCACCACGGCGGTGGCAGGAGGCCCTGGCAGGAGGAGACCCAGACAGACTCCAAGACCAATGTGGCAAACAGGATTGAACTCAAAGCCCCCAGAAACTAGCCTGCAGGCCTCGTTAGATGCCCGTGGTCTGGCTCTGTGATTGAGGGAGCCTCAGTTTCCCTGCTAGGCTACTGGGGAGCTGACTGTGTGATCACACACAAGAGCGCCATGTGTGCGAGCAGAGACCATGGTGACGATGACACAGGCATGCCCACGGGGCACTGAGGTTGTCTGGTGTCTCTGGACCGACATGCCAGATTCCTCCTGCCTGGCCCAGGACCCCAGCTCAGACCTTCACCTGAACTCCCTGCTACCACCCAGTCAATGTTTATTGAGCATCTACTGCGTGCCAGGCTCTTTCTTTCTTTCGTTTTTTTTTTTTTTGAGTCAGAGTCTCGTTTCCCAGGCTGGAGTGCAGTGGCACACTCGTGGCCACCTCAGCCTCGACCTGCTGGGCTCAGGCAATCCTCCCACCTCGGCCTCCTGAGTAGCTGGGCCCACAGGCATGTGCCACCACACCCAGCTAATTTATTGATTTGTTGTAGATATGAGGTCTCGCCGTGTCGCCCAGGCTGATCTTGAACCTGTGGGCTCAGGCAAACCTCTCGCCTCCACCTCCCAGAGTGCACCTGGCTTGTTTTTCTTTTATAGGGGTAGGGTCTTGCTCTGTCTCCCAGACTGGAGTGCAGTGGTGCAGCCTCGACTGCCTGGCTTCGAGTGACCCTCCCTCCTCAACCTCCTGAGTAGTGGTTACAGGCGCTACCATGCCTGAATAATTTTTTAAAATTTTTGAGACCAGGCACAGTGGATCAAGCCTGTAATCCTAGCACTTTGGAAGGCCAAGGTGAGGGGACTGCCTGAGCCCATGAGTTCGAGAACAGCCTGGGCAACTTGGCAGGACCTCATCTCTACAATAAATTTTTTAAAACTAGCCAGGCATGGTAGCGTGCACTTGTAGTTCCGGCTACTTGGAAGGGTAAGGAGGAAGGATCGCCTGATCCCAGCAAGTTGGCACTGGGTGGCCGTGAGCATTCCACTGCACTCCAGCCTGGGCAGTGGAGTGAGACACCAACTCAAAAAAAAAATTTTTTTTCCAAGACATGAGGTCTTGCTATGTTGCCCAGGCTGGTCTCAAACTCCTGGCCTTAAGCAATCCTCCTGCCTCAGTCTCCCAAACTGCTGGATGACAGGCCACTGCACCTGGCCTATAAACCAGGCTCTTTTTTTTTTTTTTTTTTTTTTTTT